AGCTGCCATTTTCTTAGAGGTGACTTGTTGAGAAGAGTAACGCTATTATTTAAAGCTTGCAGTAAAAATACCAAACACTGTAGTACCTTGTAGTACAGGTTTATATGTACCTGTAGTAGCCAGTTTATTCTCTTACTATGTAGAACTGTAAAATATTTAAAATGTCTTAACACATAATTTGCTGGTTATATAGACACCACTTTTGCTTTTTATTCCATTCTTCGTTTTAACTCATGTGGCAGTGATGTCCTATACTTTTTGATCCAACGAGTTCAAAGTGAAAATTAAAATTTCAAATTTCTTTTAAAGAACTCTTAAAGAGTAACGGTTAAGTCATATTTCATAAATGGTAAAGAAAGACTTAAAGTTTGGAATAATTTTGTTAGGCATAGTTGCACTTGGGTGAACGGAGTAAATTATGTCAAAATGAGAATGTGCCATAATTAGAAGTAAAGATCTAAAGGGTGTTTCTTTCAGTTTAATAGTATAACTGGAACTTTTTACTATTAAACGTGGCTTTCATAAATGCGTGGTTCAGTAATTTTATTCACTGTCAGTACTTAATAGCTTATTAATGTTTTCTGCACCTCTGATAATGAATTTTCAGTTACAGAAAATTGTTCACCTCTAGTTTAAAAATATAACTAGATATTGAAATAAATTTGATACTTTTTTATGAAGAGTTCTTAGGTTTTTTTGGTTTTGGGGGGTAATAATTTAAGTTAGATATGAAAGTCAGACTTTTCAAAGGGTTGTGAATTTCGCATATAGCTAAGCCCACTTGTAAAAGTTTAGGACAGCACTTCTCAAATCTGAGAACCTAAGGACGCCTGAGAATGTTTGTGGACCAGTTTGAACAACACATAATGCTATTATTTTAGGCTGTAGTTATGAATTGGTTCTTCACATCATCTAGGATATACTTTCTATATTATCATTGAAATGAAAACCATGCATCTGCAGTGCCCAGTTTAAGAAAAATGAGGTTAAGATGTCTAAAATACAGTTTCCTGCAGTTGAGCTGTTTATGGAAAGAATTTATATATGTGTGTGTGTGATATATATTTTGTATATGGCCACATTTTAGAGTAGAAGTATTGAAGCAAAGGATCTAGTCGTTATAATTCTCAGTTATCTACTAAAGCTGTGGTTTCATTGGTTCTGTTGTGACAATTTAAAGGTATTTAACTAAAAGTCTTTTTCTGTAGTTTCTATTAAAGTCTTAATACATGCCAATTTCGTATTTGTTTGACATAGGCTATTTGTTATTCAGCTTTTCCTAACATTTATACAGCCTTTTTATACATGTGAGATCAACAAGGTTTTAAAATATTTGTGTCTCTGTGTGTGTGGTGGTGGGAAGGAGTATAAAATAGAGAATATTGGGAGGTTTGGGATGTTCAGAAAAATCTTTCTTATTTCACTGTATCAAATAGTACGATTGTTGAAAGAATTCCATTTACTATTATCCAGAACACTTCTTTTCAAAAATCGCTTTCCGGGCTGGCCCAGTGGCGCACTGGATAGTGCGCCACTTGGGAAGCGCGGCGGCGCTCCCACCCGAGG